CGTTACCATTTTTACACGCTTCAAAGTACTATACTCATATTATAAGCAGCGTTGCTGCATTGATTGATTCTGTCACTGATGGAGATAGTAAAAAAAGCATGAGGCAAGATGAGACGTGCACTCTAATCCGTGTTCCAAATGTCCTCGCCCCGTGGCATAGCCCCTAAGCTCTAGCACAAGACACTGATAAAATTTGACTCAACATCAGCAGCGCCACCTCAGCCCTGCCCCTATAGCCCCCCCCCCCCATCTCCCCCCATCGTGATGTTATTTATCTTCAGAAAAAAAAACTTACATTCGTCGATAACACTGCTTTAAAATAAAATATTTATAATAACAGGCGATTCAGGCAATGGCCCTTTGTCATATCACTTCAGTCTCCTCGACTTGTGACATCGGCGCCGCCCATGAGGAGCCGCTTCTGAGCGCCAATTCACACATTGTGGAAAATGAGAGATGACTGAGCCTCAATTGTCTCTCGTTAGCATCTCCACTGTGCGAGATCATCCCGTTCAGGCTGTAGGATCTATTCTGAACGTATTCATCAGCAATTGACTTAAAACAGTTGCTCCATTTAATAATACATCATTCATAAACAATGCGGCTCAAGCACCCATAAAAGGCCACCAGTCTAGTCATCACATCGCAGGCGATTGAAGCCTATAATAATAAGACAGCTTTATTTATTTTGTACTAGCTTTACTACCCGGCTTCGCCCGGGACTTGGATTCACCACGCCCGGTCGCCTTTGTCTCCCCAGTGGCGATGTTGACACACCACAACAGTTACTCGTTTGAGGCTGAGTCCACCTAGGGGAGGCCCAGGACCGGTTAAAATAATCGTAACCGGTGGTGGCCGTGAGCGAGAATCGAACTCGGGTCACCGGGTTCGTAGCGCGGCGCGCTAACCGCGACACTACAATACGTTACGCTTCCACATGGGAGGGTCACGTGACAGATTTGACGTCAGAGCTCACTTGCCGTGCAAAAAAAATATGCATTATTGAGCTCCCCCCCCCCCCCCCCCCCCCCAAAAAGTTATTTTTTATAATTTCTGCATGGTGTACAGTTTGGAAATTACCGACATGGCAAATTTCAAGTTTGTTGCATGTCGGGAAGTACGCTAAACATGTTGAACAGACAAACATTCACAACTTTGCCTTTTATATAAATGGAGATAAACTAATGCAGGAATCCACATGTTTTTAAAGTTGTGGATGTTTCTTGACCATACTTCACTCTCACGTTGATGATTATCCTCGGGGAAATTATATCATCATGTACTATATAGAAAATATTATAACGGGTTTTTACCATCATGTGATGAGTACCCATTTCACAACGAGAGTGTGGGGCAGTGTGGTTCCTCGTGGGTACGGATAGTGAGGCCACCCCGAGGGGTTTCCAGAAGATGGTCGGTGAAAACTCTTGTGCTGCCATTCTCTGCCATGCGATTCTCTGCATCTATGTTCTCTGAGATTTGTAATTAGATTCTTCATCAAATAACCATTAAGCATAAAACTGAACATCAACCACTGGATAAACCCAGAAAAGAGGGTGATATGGAATAAGTGGGAAGCATGTTCCATCAGCCCCTATTAGCTTTCCAGAATTGTTCTCTCGCCCCCCATCAAAGATAATCCATGGGGCCTCAAGCCACTCTGGACCGTTGCCACCATCCTCCGAGTCTGCCGAAATAGACAGATCCCGTTCTTTCCCTCTCTGCATCCGTTAAAATAGAGGGTAAAGTAATTAATTAGCCAGCATGGAAAAGCTGCTGGTATTGATAAGATCAGGGACCTGTTGAGATCAGGGACCTGTTGACCCAAGAAGAGAAAATGTATTATTTCCATCTTATATAGGCACGACATCATATCCCGCAGTCACACTTCTACAAGTAGCTAAAAACCAGGGACACCATCACCAAGGCTGTAAACAAAAACTTTGCCAAGATCACCCACCCCATAATGGATTAGCTCATGGAGAAAAAGCACAAACTAGCAAAGGCGTGAAGGTGTGCCATCACCTTGACTCAGGGGACGAGCAGATCAGACTAACACCCAAGAAACTGTGGGAAGCACTGCTGGGGTCTGACATCCACCCCTCACCCCCAGATATAGCGAGCCTTGGCAACTGGTCCCTTGTCGTTCCCCTTGAAAGTTATCCCATTAAAATTCATGCATGGAGTTTACCCAACTAACAAACGGAGTGCAACATTCTCTATCTCTTCTCCAGGTTATCTCAGATGCCCACAATGCACTACACAGACATAACCGCATGCTTTTTGGATTGGAGAGTTTTACTGGACCATTGCCAACTACTTCAACTTGATCTGTGGCATAGAGGTCGACCCTTCAGTGGATTCATCCCTGTGGGGCGTGAAACTGGTGGGAGTATCCAAACACCAACAAACACATTACTTCAAGCGTTCTACACCATGGCAAGGAAAACTATCCTGGGAAACGGCAGACCTTGGTAGAGATCTCTAAAGGCCTTGTGAGCAATGGAACACCTCGGCTACAAGCTTAAGGGGAACAAAAAACGAGAATGAGGTGATATGGGCCGCATTCCTTGAGAATCCCACGTAACATGAAACACCTGGACGTACTGAGGAAAGACAGTAACCAGTGGACGGGGGATGGGGAGGAGGAAAGGGTGACAGGAATCACACCACTCTACCAGACTCTGAACGAAAGTTGTCCCCAGAAAGGAAAAAGGCAGAGGCAGGCTCACAGCTTATATTGTTCTGTATATTATTTATTATCCCATTCATTGCTTGGGTTATAATCCCCCCCCACCTAGTATCTCTCCCCCACCCTTCCCCCTCTAAGGAAGGGAAACACCGGAGGACTCGGAGCAAATATCCACCCGACCACGGGGAGAACTTCAAACTTCAAATATACAACAGGCATCAGGGTCAGGACCGACCCCACAACCTCCTCCATACCAGGCTAGGGAATTAACATCTCGCCACAACGGGGACCCATGATAGGGGGTGGCAGGCAGAAGTGAGACTAGTGAGGATTTTCAAGACGGCGATCTTTTATTTTGATTCACAAATTAAGCGGGAGCCAGTGGAGGGATCATAAACAAGACCGTAGCTTCACCAACAAAACAGGCGAAACAGAACAAATCTAGTACTGTACTATGGAAGACAAGACTCCCAGTTGCTTGGCACACTTGATAAAAAGCGAGTTCTTAATTGCATTCAAACATTTACAGCGAGGTGGGTTCCACTCCAGTATATAGTCATTGTAAACTTAGGCTTCTACGTGGGAATGAGTCTCATAGGCAACACCACGGGGTGAAGGGGACAGTGGGGGTTGGTTGCTCCCTCACTTGACTGACTGGGCACGAGTAACAGACTTCAGCCCCCATTGACAATGTCTGTAAATAGGGAGGTGGGAGTCAATGGAGTCTGCAACAAAACACCGTGACGTTTAAATAAGCACTTCTCCTTAAAAATACGATTGACCATATATTACAGTGATGCAAAGGGCAGTAAAGTGACCAAGGCCACCAGGCGCTGTACCAGAATACCGCGTCATATTAATATGGGACGCCGCGGTGGCGAGATGATATCTCCATTGCCTCGTATGCAGGAGGTTGTGGGTTAAATCTCAACCCTGACGCCTGCATATTTGGAGTTTGCAAGTTCTCCCCATGGTCGCGAGGATTTTTTTCTGGGTCCTCCGGTTTTCCCCTCCACACTTAGAAACATGTGTTTTGGTTATTTGGCTGTCTTTCAAATGTCCACATGACAAGCCACTTCGTTGGGCTATCATTTGTGGCCAGGTCGCTTCTGAAAATGCGAATAGCTCAGTGGATTTTACCTGGTAAATAAAATCGTTTTGTTTTGAAACTCACGTGACAAACACCAAATCCAACCAACACGCCCAGTGTAGATACACTGAAAAAAGCAGCAAATGCACCAGAATGAAGCAGGAAACATCTCGCCAAGTCGTATATGGATCAAAGAGACAACGCAAGAAAAATAATCAAATCCACAACCAGACCTGGATATGATAGTAAAATAAACTGCCTAGGAGCAGCGTCCTTCACGAGCCTCCTCCGTGCCTACAGCACGAGCTCCAACACAAACATCCCCCATGTATCTCCACAGACTGGTGGGGCAAGTGCTGTTATTGAGCCCCTATGAAGGCCGGCATAGTACACGAGGGGGTCGGTTGTCACAACCACGCCGGATCGCCTTTGTGTGCGATCTTTACACACCGCCCCAGGTACTCATTTGAGTTACACACACACTGACCTCACTACCGCCCACCGTACACACACACTCACACGTGCTACACCATCTTGCACACACAGAGAGAGACATTCGTTAACACGAATAAAAAGACCCCGTGTAGACTACACAGGCGGTTTATAATCTGGATCACACCACCCACCGTCCCCCACGCACCACAAACTCCCCACACTCACCCACGCCGTGAAGTGTCACACCACCCACCGTCCCCCACGCACCACAAACTCCCCACACTCACCCACGCTGTGAAGTGTCACACCACCCACCGTCCCCCACGCACCACAAACTCCCCACACTCACCCACGCCGTGAAGTGTCACACCACCCACCGTCTCCCACGCACCACAAACTCCCCACACTCACCCACGATGTGAAGTGTCACACCCCCCACCGTCCCCCACGCACCACAAACTCCCCACACTCACCCACGCTGTGAAGTGTCACACCACCCACCGTCCCCCACGCACCACAAACTCCCCACACTCACCCACGCTGTGAAGTGTCACACCACCCACCGTCCCCCATTCACCACAAACTCCCTACACTCACTCACGCCGTGAAGTGTCACACCACCCACCGTCCCCCACGCACCACAAACTCCCCACACTCACCCACACTGTGAAGTGTCACACCACCCACCGTCCCCCATTCACCACAAACTCCCTACACTCACTCACGCCGTGAAGTGTCACACCACCCACCGTCCCCCACGCACCACAAACTCCCCACACTCACCCACACTGTGAAGTGTCGAGTCGCCCGCGTCACTCGCCCCCTGACACGCGCAGACGCAGCCCGGCTCCCCGTGTCGCCTCCTCTGCCGCTCTCTCAGTCTCAGGCCCTGACGCCAGCAGTGGCATCAAGAAGTCTCCTCCAGTAGCAGCAGCAGGAAGGAGAGGGGCGGGGTGGGTGGGGGAGGGGTGGGGGAAGTGGGGGAGGGGTGGGGGAAGGGGGGGAGGGGTGGGGGTGGAGGGGTGGGGGTGGAGGGGAGGGGGTGGGGGTGGAGGGGAGGGGGTGGGGGGGAGGGGGTGGGGGTGGAGGGGAGGGTGTGGGGAGCTGTGGCACCTGCGAGCACTTTAGTTCTTCATGTGTGGTGTTACATTTGATGTTTTAATACTTTATTTTTTTATTATAATTTGTATCTCTCACGGTAATAAAGTTGCTCAAGAGGGGAAGATTATTGTGCTATAACGTAGCTCAGCTTTTAGCATGGGAATCAGTGGGCTAATGATGATTGTTCGACGAGTTTTTGCTTATGGGGCCGTCCATAAATGACGTCACGCGATTTTGGACGATTGTTGACCCCTCCCCCTTCGTCACATGGCGTCACAAAAAGTCAGACCCCCCCCCCTCAAATATGACGTCACAAAGCTCTGCCCCCCCCCCCAAAAAAAAAATGCTTCAAATCGCTTTAAACTATTGTTATTGTAGTGCGTATTTAATGTGGCACTGCACTCTGATGTTGTAGGAGAAAACATTTATTAAAAAGTCTATTTAATTAAGTAGAACGTGTTGTCTATATTTATTTAAAGTTGCGCATTTTGATGTGACGTCACATTTCTCAACCCCCCCTCGTCACACATCGTCACAAATGTCTGACCCACCCCCCTAGGTGCGTGACGTCATTTATGGACGGCCCCTAAAGTAACAAGACTGCTTATAGGTGGGACGTATTTCTTTTTTGCCTCAGGTGACTCGGTCATGATGGCATCAAAATATCCTGCATGTATTTTGATTAGAGAAGCATGTACGGTTTTACCTGGTTAATAACATCCTTCCAATGATTTCTCAATTTGTATCCATCTTCTCGGTTGAAGTTATGTATATGTTTATATATATGGATGGCTTCATGAACAAACCTTTGATAGTAGCCCGAAGGTTTGCAGAGTACCTTGGTCTTAGAAAAAAACAATATCAAGAGAGCCCACAGATAATATATGCATTGTCTTAGAAACTGATTGGTCCACACCAAGGTTTCGGTTTTGTTGCCAGAAAAAAGGGGTAAAACCCTATTATTATATTTTGGTACTGGCAAAGGAGGTCTAATGATGTAAATGCTTACCCCGAGCCCTCATTACTTTGATAGTGCATTGTCTTTGAGCTGTACGCATTTTGGCGTCCCCTGGTCTAGCACTAATTGAGATGAGGCTCAAAATAAAGTCGTCTCTGGTGTGGACCAATCAGTTTCAAAGACAATGCATACATTATCAGTGTGTTTTTTGTTTGCATTTTGACCACAAGTATTGTGGTTAATGCACACATGATTCCTTGTAAAAAGGTTTCAGTTTTGTTGCCAGAAAAAAAGGGGAAAACCCCTATTATTATCCATAAAGAAGGCACTCCACTTCGGACTATCGTTTCCATTATCAACTCACCTACCTACAAACTGCCCTGTTTTCTCAGCATTACATAACTCAGCTCACTTGGTCTCTCGAATCAAGGGCATTTCACCGTCCCCAGATGGACGCAGGAAGACCCCCAATGCATAGAAATGTGTGCTTTAACTAGGCGTTCTTGCCCAAATCGTCGCCTCTTAAACATGTTTTATGTTAATGTAGCAGTGTTATTGACTTATGTGAGTTATTTTGTTCACTGTGTAGCAACACATTTCTTGACTGAACCCAACCAGTCTTGGAGAGACGGGAGGAATGAGGAAATATCTTATCTGAGAGCTCTACAGTCTACAACAATGCAAGGTCAGTTGTAGATACGGGACAATTGTCACAATAATTTCTTTAACAGAGCTTAGCAAGTTCAATTACAGGTTGATAACTTGATAAAGATGCATTTGAAATGCTGCTCAGGTTGATGTTGTTGTGAACCTGAAGAGGCAATTTTCCATCGACACCTCCACAAAATTTTAACCATCATAGCAACAACCTCCAACACCAATAATGTAAACGTCATCAGAATGGCCACCACCATCACATTGTAGAACATGCCGCCACATTCATGAAACCAATACAGTATTACCACTAGACACGAATTAAGATATGAGTGTATCGACTGCCTTGTTGCACATGTCTGGTGAGGATTCAGTGAGAATGAAAACTTGAGGCCGATGTTGGTGGTGATGTACACACACACATATATGCTGTACGTACACATATGTACGTGAATTACTAGCGGGTGCGGTGTAGCCAGGTGTCAGGATCAGTTCGGGTAAATGTAAACATTCACATGCCGTGAGTGCATTGAGCAAATGTGCACATTCTTCTGTTATTTGCTCACTCACACAAAGCTGTGATTTGCATATTGCGGGCAAAGGGAGACTCACACCATACATTAATCGAACAGTTAACAGATTCAATATATCAATCAATGCAAACTACCACCACCATCTGATCTATAACCAAGCCATCCTCTAAATTATAACTTCCACAAATTACATAATTAGTTCTCATCTCCAAGCACTGCACAATCTCCGATGCACTGATGTAAATATTTATTAAGATGTTTTCAGCAACTTCATTAATTTCGTGTCTATAACAACTTAAACTTTTAAATAACACAATGTGCACAAACTCTCAGAGAGAGAACGATTCTGAGTTCAGGTTGTGAGGAGCAACTACAGACAAGTTGGAGAGTCAGCCACGCGATGAGCCAGCACCAAATCATTTGCCATGCTCTGTGATCCTCGATACCTCAAGGTGTTTTTGGACAATTAATGAGAGTTGAAGTGGGGAGGATCAATACCAAGCATTTGTGGTCACAGGCCCGATTACAGTAAGTAATGGAGTTTACATAATCTGCTGTGCACGTTTCTCTCGGGCAACACTGGCGTAGATGAGGCATCACTCGATTTTCACTGCAGATGCAGTTTGTATTCTCACCCTCGTTGAGATGGCCCCACTTTGAGGTTTGCTTCACAACAGCTGACACCTGTTTGGTGGCAGTTCGGGTATCACCAGTTGCCCTTATTTCTCCTGACTCTGGAAGTCTCTGCTGCTCGCAGTCTCATCTTAGCAGGTGTTTGTGTGGCTCTGTCGTGTGTTCTACTCCTTGAAGCTTTATGCTCTCTGTAGATGAGCTGAAAGGTTCCATGGTGTTGGAAAACTCTTACGCGACTTAAGTCTACTGCTTCTTGCAGCAGGTTTATGCTGGTAGAGCAGCTATGTTGAATCTGGTCTGGCATGATCATTTTGCATGGCTGTCTACCATTATTCTGATATATGTAGGTGCAATGCCAGCCAAGAGGTAGAGGCCGTCTACATTGGTCAGCTTTAGATGGAGAATGTGTTACACAGGATCAATCTTTCTTGCACATACAAACCTTTCCAATGCAGAGGAGGCATATTCCACTACGCAGTAGCAGAGAGCCAGCGTAGTTGACTTGAGTGGAGATGCATTGTTACCCATTTAGTATTTGCCAGTTTTATAGAAGATGTTATATCATGAGCTTTGTCATGGCGTTCTCAACATGTACCTTGTATGTCAGAAATCGATTTATTGTTACGCCGAGGTACATAGTATTTGAGCAGTGGGCCATTCCATGGATGTTGAGTTTTCACTTCCTACAGCTGCTTTTTAAATGGAAGGTGCACACTTGGATAGCAATGGAGTTTGATCATAGATGGTTTTCCTCATGTTTAGCTAGTATATTAAGTTTAAGCCATCTGGCCAGGATTGCAACACAACTTAGCCCATTTTTCACTTAGGCAACTGGAGAGCAGCACTGACTAAGTGTTTCTAACCTAAGATTAAAACTAACACTTAAACATTTAATATTCACAGTTAAGAGCAAAAACATATATACTATAAAAAATATAGTATTTTTAAAACTTAATATCAATGGTCATCATACTATCTCGTGAGAACAAACTAATTTATTCTCACAGCTGATATTTACCCACATTTAGCGAAAAGCCAAGTTATATTGTATTTGTTTGTTATTGAGCTGAAACCACCAGTACACTTGAGTTCGTCGTTTCATCATAGGGAACTGAAATCCGGATTCTAACTTGAGGTCTCGGGGGCACCTGTGTTACTTGGCCTGGCTCGATTCTAGTTTAGCTCAGGCAGCATCACAGCTCTTAGCTGCACGCAACTGTTTTGAAAACACGGGAGGAATGAGGAAGTTGATGATATCTGAAGGCTCTACAACACAACAAAGTCAATCTCGTGTAGGGACAGACAGATATTTTACAATCCCTTAACAAGCTTAGGTTTTTAAGATTTTAAATATGCCAAAACATGTGTAATATGTTCAAATCTCTTCGATATCGTCCAAACACAAGCCTCTGGGTTTTGTATGTATGTTGAACGTCTTCGCACCATACGTAGCCAACCGTCCTAATAGCTTATTGAAAATATCATTAGATACATGAACAAGCAAATAATTACAGCAGTCGAGACGAGAGCAGGCAATGACGTGTATTAGCTTCCCAGCATCAGCTACAGAAAGGCAAGAACATATGCGAGCAATGTTGTGAAGGTGAAAAAAATGACACTATTACAACATTTCGGAGATGTGTCTCAAAGGACAGAGTAAGACAACAAAAAAACGTATAAATTCCGAACCACAGGAGGAGGTTTAATGACAGTGCTGCCAATAAGTAGTCAAACGACATCACATCTTGGAAGCTGATTTAGAGAGCCAATTGTCATAATCCTGCCCATTCATTTTCTAATATTAATTCGAAAAGCCAAAACACAACACAAACATCAAAGACCAAGTAACGCACTTAAATCTGTATCCTCTCAAATGAGAAACCAATTGGGGGCACTTCGGCTCACCGCCCTTCCACCATAGGGAAACCGATCAAGAACATAATTTTATTGGGGGAGGGGAATACAAGGGAAGAGGGGAACGGAAATAATGCTACCCATACAAAACCGTAAATAAAGTAACATGAATGCCACACCAGAGCTTATCATTCTTGTAAATCACTGCACCTCAAATGAGT